CTCTCTCTCTCTCTCTCTCTCTCTCTCTCTCTCTCTCTCTCTCTCTCTCTCTCTGTGTCTGTGTGTGTGTGTGTGTGTGTGTGTGTGCTAATCCATTGGTCGGCTCATCCGTTTGTCTGCCTGTGTGGCCTCCCCTCCCCCACTGCTCCCTACCTTGGGTTTTACACGTTACGTTGCAGGCTTAGGTCCTTTGGGGGTTGTAGGGTTTGGGGTTTAGGGTTTGCTGACAGTGTCAAAGGCACTCGTCGAAATTTTTATTACCAATTAGTAATTAATTGATTGGTCGATGTCTCCAGCCACATGTGCAATCGTCCGATAGCTGTATCCATTTTACAACAACGCGCTGCTGCTGTTTCTGCGTGATCTGTGTGTACCAGGCTGGAGAAAAAAGCGAACTTCGATCTCCTCGGCTTCCTCAACCAGGCTTGGATGTCTCTGTTCTATCACGACAAATTTCAGCACCTGTACTTATCCATCAGAGACCTTGTGGCTGTCCATAATGACCTCCGGCGGCGCACTAGCTTGGAAACTACTGAAGCTGGATCAGAACTGGACCCTGTGGTCCCGAAAAGGTATAGAAGGAGAGCTAGTCTGACGACCAGATTCCGAGTGAATCTTGAGGGAAAGGTCCACTCCAAGGAGGCGGGCAATACGGAGGACATACTGCCATCTGGTGCAGTCGTGTCGACCTCTCTCGCAGGGCGCCAGGAAGATATTGAGAAAGATGGCAAATCACAAGTTCTGCAGACGAATCAACAGCGTGAAAAAGAGGGGAACTTCTTCGACATGGTGGAGGCGTGCATGGTTGATTTCCTCAACAAATACAGGTCGGAAATTTCCGGACTCTTGACAGTGAGGCTTCGCCCCCGTCCTACTACCTCGTGACTGAAGACGACAGTGCTTACAGTCCTAGATAACCAATCATTGATTGCCAAAGATATCACTGGCTGACTCTTTGAGGCCTGAGCCCATCTTTGAAGAACACAGTCAACGCTTGACCTGGCCGGTTAACGTCTTCCCCCGAATAGAACATACTTGGTCACTATACTTTCAATCTCGGTACAGCAATAATGACTGGGCGATCTATCTGGGCGAAAACAGTAGTCAATCCAGTCATCTTACTGGCTTTTTGAGGCTATCTTTGAAAAACACGGATAGTCGTCTTGTTCATGTGTAGTAGCAGGTCTTGAACTCCTGACTACCGGTAGTTATCAAGACTCAGATGCTTGTGCAATTCAGTTCCGGCCCCCATGCACACTAGGAATTTCTCTGGATCTTGGCAAAAGTCCTATCATCCGTTAGTGCACCCTCAGACAACAAGGTACTATGAAGATGATTATTGAGAGAAGTCTTCCTCAATAGAAAAGTCTTTACTCACTTAAATAATGGTCCTGAGAAATAATAATAATAATAATAATAATAAATAATAATAATAAATAATAATAATATAAAATATAATAAAAATATAATACAATAATATAATAAAATATAATAAATAATAATATTATATAAAATAATAATAATAATAATAATAATAATAATAATAATAATAAATAAAATAATAATTAAATAATTAATAATATCAATGAGCTCGTCTATCATGAGAAGCTTCCACAAGGCAATCATGCAAGTATCGACAATGCACTGAAAATTGAACCACTCACAATGCAGAATAAGCCCAGAAACACTCAATGTAGTCCGCAAATAAGTAGTGAGTCGTCAGAAATGAGACAAAGGTAGAGAAGCAACAGAGAGAGAGGGATGAGTCGGTGAAACTCCGACGAAACAGTTTGTCACGGCCCCTCGTTTGTTGTCCTCTTCTCTCTCTCTCTGCCTACGGTTTACCGGGCAGTTCTGTTTGTGACGATATATAATAATACGATTGAAAAGACTCTTCCATCGCACTACACGAGCGGGTCCTGCTCCCACCAACTCGCCACCTCAGCATGCAAGTCTCTCCCTAACGACACTGATGAAGTCTCTCTCCAGCTACCAGCTGTGGCGCCCAACCTCCAGCATCAATGCTGGCTATGGAGGTCGGTGCCTGCGAACAGCACTAACTCCAGTACCACCAGCATAAGTCAAGGTAAGCTTCCCACTCTTTCTCACACTCTCTCTCTCCTCACACAGTTCTGATCACCCTCTTACTTGCCCTGCCTCTAGTGTATACGTAGCAGTTCTTTTGTAATTCCTCCTCCTAGAGAGAACTCATTTGAATTTACCTAGACCAAATCCGATTCTTTGCAGCTTGAGGGTCTCCTATGATCATTAGCTTCTTTGATTTTCATTATATCTTTCTTGCTCATGCAACACTGCGAATTCGCGGGTCCTTGGGGTTCACCTTCGGACCACCTCTCTTGTTAGATAATCTATACGTCTTCTAGGCATATCCTTTATGCAGTGCACTAGGCGTTTGCACGGTTCTTGTGTAAACAGAGTTGTTATACACACTTGCTATCTTAGGTAAGTTCTCATCCGAATCAATCTGGTCAGGACATACACAGATGCGTAGAAGTTGTTGGCACAATCTGTTCATTTGCTCAATCTGCCTATTGGCCTCAGGATGTCTGCCCAAAAAGATAGTTAATCGAGTGCCATATACTCTCATTGGTTCAGGGCTTAGGGTTCAGGGTTTAGGGTTTAGGGTTTAATTGAGTGTCATATACTCTCATTAACTTGTTGACCTGCAAATTGCAAATCTCTAAATCTTTGGGACTCCATGAGTGGGTGATGGTGGGGTAGGGGGGAGGGGGCTGGAGTGATTGAGACCCCAAGGGCACCGTTGACGATGAGGCAGGATACTAGGGGGCCGTGACCCGCCCTCAAGCTGCCAATGTTGGAGTGAGGTCGAGGGGGGTGCTGGGGGGTTGCAGAGACTGTCGGGGGTAAGGTACTCAAGAGTCTGAGCCCCTGAATAATACCCTGGCAGGGGCGTGGACAAGCAATCAACGGGTCTCAGTCACCATTGCTTTGTCATTGCTATCCAGTTTTTCCAAATTATTTTACCATTGCCCTCTACGTCACACCGGCCGAGTGCGCCAGCCGCACCTCTCGCGAGCCCCTACGACAGGACATGGTCGCGCGAGGCACCGCTTACCTCCACCTGGGAGCTGTCACCATCCCTTAGGTGGGCGTATCCCCGCCGAGCTACTGAACCACGCGCGAAAGCTTTCGTATGCAATTGCAGAGGTGGCCCAGCCGAGGGCGTTTTTCGTTCGCTGTAGCATAGGGGGTTACGCGCGGTCGAACGCCCAAGAAATCGAACCCGCACGCGAATTGACGTTCTGGGGGGCCTTTCTATGCGGGTCTATCCCCAGTTCCTTGAAGTCTTTTAGGGCCTACTGTCTTCTCTCCGGGTCAGTTGTCGGAGTCGGTAGCTCTCTCAGTTTTAGTGCCTACGGCCTTCATTATGTTTGACCCTGATTGCCTCCGCTATCTCCGCTTTTGCCTGTATGTATCCAAGTCAGTGCTCTTTTCTTTCAGTCGAGCATCTCATCCTCCATATTACCACTAGGATATTGAGCCTTGTGTTGGAATTTTTTTTATTTTTATTTTTTTTAAACATAACCTCATGGTTCTGGCTCCTGCCATTCTGGGGAGCAACAGTCCGGTTCCTTTCCCCCGTCAAGTCAATAAGAGATACATAAGAGACTCACGCACGCTAGTTGTCCACATGGGCGGGTGTTTTTTTGGCATCCCTAGTAAGATGAGTTTGATGTCCATAAGGTGGTGGGGAAGAACTCATCTGTCAGTCTTATGCCACAAAGCATCCCACCACCTCCGCAGTTGTTTAGCCATGGCGCAGTCCAACAGGCAGTGCTGAAGGTCTGCTATACTTCGCAGATATGAGTGGCCACAATATGATCAGACTGGGGACGATATCCCCTTCTGATCGAGGTTTGAGCGTCATGTTAGCCCTTCTGGTGTAGGGAGTCACCTATACAGAATTTGCCAGTGGAGGGCCGGATTGGAAGTCGGCGTTGTATGCGCAATGGTCCCCCAAGAGAGGTTTGCCAGGTCTGATTCGCTGAGTGGGGAATCTTGGTCCCATCTTCTTTGTATGACTGGGGTTAGATGTATGGAGTGTGTGGGTGTTGCTTATAGCCTACCTTCACAATGTACTGCCAGATTGGCACCGGCTTGATAGCCAGCCACTCCCACTTATCTGGGTCGAAAGAGAGGGTGCCGATTGGTAGAGACATTTCATGAGCGAAGGACCCATCGTCCTCATTGCCCACTAATCTGATCCTGGTGAGGGCGTCTGTGGCCACTATACCGTCCACCATGTTCCTTCCCAAGTGGGCCCACCTGGCGCCTGCCAGGTCGAGGTCGTATGTATGTAGTTCCACTCCCTCTTCATCCACTCGGTCCACTCTATATATGGTCCTAGCCTCCTAGGGATTGGGTTGGCCATTTCCATCGTAACCCAATCTCCCTTCTTTATCCTCGGGCCTCGTTTGGGGGCCAACACCCAATTGAGTGGGATTGCTTCCTGCATCGTCACCAGTTTTGTGTTTATGTCCCTTGTATTCTTGAGCCTGGTCTTGAGCTGTTGGGCAGATTTCCAAGCACCCGTTTGTACGTCCCTCAGATCTCCATCTGAAAAAATCCCCTTCTTGACCCAGTGCAGCCAATTACAGTGTTGCTCGATGGAGAATGGTCTACCCTCTCTATCAAGGATATGCGGATTGCTGAGCAACGGCTGTCTCCATAAGTCATGTCATCAAGTTGGTGTGTTTTTTTGTTGTCAGTCCATCAAGTTGGTGTGTTTTTTTGTTGTCAGTCCATCAAGTTGGTGTGTTTTTTTGTTGTCAGTCCCATCTCTCTCCAGAAACAAAGAATGGATGTCCAGAGGGGATCATGCTTAAGGTCCGATTTGGTCTGGTTTTGGGTTGTGCCATCTCTCTTCCTTCCTGGTGGTCAGGGTATGGTCCAGTACGCGTTCGAGCGTGCGGACAGTCTTGTCTGGATGGGAGGGTGGGGCCAGGTTTGCTATTTTGATACATGCAGACATTGCAGAGGTATCCAGGGGATGTCATTGGCTAGCAGCATTCTGATTACTACTCTGAAAATCAGTGCTTATAATTCATCTCCCGGATCTAGGCTATTGGGGTTAGGTGCTGCCATATTTGGCGGCAGGTTTTGGTCTCTTTTAAGATGGAGGTTCCTTCTTCATTCTGCGGGTGGCATCTCTAGGGTGGATTCTGAGGTGATGCTGGAGGTTGGCAGGCTGCTGAGGCCGAGTGCTATAGCCGGAGATAGGTGAAGGTGATTGGGATGATGTTGAGGGAGACTTTGAGGGCTCGTTGAACCGTGTTTTCAAGTTTGTTCAAGGTGATTCGTACTAGGTTGTGATTCTTGGCTTATTATGTGACTCTGGTTGGACTTGGAGAGGAGGAGAGGCTTCAAATTGTTCATACCCAATTCTTTTTTGGCTATGGTGCTTTCACGGCGCATATTTCTTCTCAGAGGCGTAAATCTCTCCACATCAGATCCACCAGTTGTGCATGTGGTATGGGAATATGTGATGCTTTTCTGAGTTGCGATGTCAGCTAGTCGCATAACAATTAGTATCAGAGCTGGAACCAACGGAGGAGAGATTTACGCCTTTGAGCAAACAGATTGGACATCTTCTTTTAAGCGAGCGCTGGAGGTGGTCCACTGGTTTCTGCCATCCTTCAGAGTGGGCGAGCTTGGGAAGGCGGTGAAAACAGGTGTGCGGGGTGTGAGAAATGTGATTGACAGTTTTGAAGGTGAGCGGAAATGTGGGAGAAGCAGACAAGTGGACTGAAGATGGCGAAAGGGCGAGAGGAAGAAGGAATTAACTAGGGTTGACCTTCGTCTTCCTCCAGCGCTGATGGAGTTCATGGGCTTCCAAACCCTAAAATTCGTTGAGACGACATCTTCAGGCAGCGATTCCGCATCATATGACATGATTTTTGAGAAGTTTTGACGACGTGAACAAGTGGAACAGTGAGCTGAAGACACTGGTGAAAGCCTGGAGTGGTGCTGAACTTCGAAAGACCTCCAAGCGCCTGAAGCGAAGTGCACTACATCT